GAATAATACTGGCCCCAGTACTGACCCTTATGACATTGGTCACAAGTGCTTTGTGCTTTAAGCTTATTCTTTGTGATCAGTAGACAGTATTCAGATGAAGGTGAAAATACTCAAAATTTTTTTACAGGAAAAAGGCCTACAGAAGTAGGCACAGAAAAACAGCATCCACTCTAATTATTAGACAGTAAAACTGTTCTTCCATTCACCTGAGAACATAATTCAGAATACATAGACCTTACTTCTTTTCCTTTGTCTTATATAAGATATATCTCGATATTCTTAGGTAAAATGTTGGTAGATATTTGCAAACCACCTTATACAGGGCATTTATTTTTCTTTCAGCACTAGGAAGAGAATGTCAGTGATAGTTCGCACGCCATCTGGAAAGTTAAGACTCTACTGCAAAGGAGCTGTGAGTTTTATTCTGTTTTTACGATGTCAAAGAACAAATACTGCCAGTACAAATATGAAAGCAAAAGGTTGCTGTAACTGCAGTCAAAACATTGACAATGTGGGGGAAGAAATATTGATGCCTTTGTCAATTTACATCATTTAACTATGTAGCTATGTGATTAACTTGTTAATGTCTCTTTTTGCATGACAGATCTGTTCATCCTGTTCCTAGTGGCTTTATAATTCCTATTAATTTCTTCCTTCTGTACTCCAAGAAAATGGGTGAATGTATGATTTAATCTATTAGTTACTTGCTGGAGTAGTATCACTAGGTAGAAATAGTAATCTTGCATGAGTGACTTGATGGGAGTTTTTCACCTATGATTGATGTTGTACCAGAAGTAAATTTTCCTGAAAACAGGATCTGTGGGAAGGTATCTTAATCACAGTTGATGTGGGAATAGCAGAGTTGCTCATTAGTTCTTGTTCTTGTATCTAAAGTCTTAAGGGAAAGGAGGATGAAAATCCAGTTCCCAAATATTTTAAAAAAATGAAGTTGATTGAATATAAATAGCCGTTCTGTATCTTCTCAAGTGGAGGGAAGAAGCTATTGTTAATATTCTGTATATCAAACTGTCTACAAAAACCTGAGAATGGTAGTTATGAAACACTAGTTTTACATTTTGGACTTTAATAATAAAGAGGAAGACAGCATTTTAGCAGATCCAAAGAATTCACCTGGCAAGCAAAAGGAAGATTCAGCATTTTTCAAAATGAAGGGAAATAACAGCAAAAAATGTAGGAGAGAAAAGCTGCATCGTAGCAGAATTTGTAAATTTAGAGAATCTGAGGATTTGGAATGTCTTTTTTTTTCTTTCCTCTGAAATAAAATTGCTTCTATTCATTTTTGATGCTGAAATAAATTAATACAGTGCTGCATATTTTTTCTGACATTTTTCTATATTATTTGTATTCTCTGCACACAAAAAAATATATTTTTTAATTGTTCTGAGTTAAATTTACTTGTTTTGTAGGATACTGTAATTTATGACCGTCTTGCTGAAAGTTCAAAATACAAAGAAATAACCTTAAAACATCTAGAGCAGTTTGCTACGGAAGGTGAGTGATGATATTCAGTATAAAACTAAATATGAAATTCAGTTGCAATTTTATGTTGCTGTAATGTTATACTCATGTTAAGTTTGAAAAGTATGTTTTATTAATGCGTCCCAGAAAGGATCATCTTCCTGAGAAGTTTCAGTAACAAGTTCATGCTTTAAAAAGCACCAAACAAACAAACAAAAAATCACTCACACAGTACACAGTGGAATCTTTTAAGCAAAACATATTTTTTTCCAGAAGGCAAACACATTGCATATTGTTTCTGTGAAGATCCTATTTCCTATGATAACTTTCATGTCCCACACACCATGAATGCTGTAGGGATGGCACACAGGAAGAAGCAGACAAAGTGAAGATGCTTGGAAATGCTTAGCATAGTGCTTTTCTGGTAGCTTTATGCTATATTTTTTCTGTCACCAGTCACAATAACTGTGGTGTGTTTTGGTATCTCTGCTGTTTTAACAATCACTTTTACAGTGCAGTTGCTGAAGGTTGGGAATCACTCCACAGGGTTCATGAAGTAGGAATAGTAAGTAAAATTTAAAAGACTGTTAAATTAAGTTGATTGATACAAACAGCCAGTTAGTTATTTAGTAATAGTGGATTCCACAGTATAGACATGAGCAAGAAAGCAGAAAGGTTTCTGCTTTCATATAAGTTCTTCTAGCACAGTTCCTAGATCTTTCATGATATGCCCCTTTCTGGTATCTTAGTAAAGGGTTATAGAGTTGTACTGTGAAGTATCATAGTGATTTAGTTTATCAAGGAGTTGGGAGAGAGTAGTTGGAAGCAGAATTATAATAGTTATAGGGATCTGAACTGCATTTTTTTTCTACCTCTTCATTCTTTTAATACACTGTTACTAGAACATTAAAATTATCTTTAATGTGTCTTAAGAAATAAGGTTACACTGGAAAGTAAACTTTATTAAAATATATTCCTTGTAAAATACAATCATAACCTTTAGACAACTGATGTCTGGCCAAATCTTGTATCAGGAAAGGTCCTTTTTCTGTCTGTTATACAGACATAACATCTGTTATGTTGACTTCTCTAATTTTCCTCTTGGTTTATAATGGAGTTTAGCATTGTAATTAGTGTCATAGTCAGCACCTTCAGTCTCTTGATTCTGTCAGTGACAGCAGAAGCAAGCCACAGATCTGTTTTTTCTTTTTTTTTTCTTTTATTAGTTTTCCACATCAGGATCTCTGTAGGAAACATTTGGTTAGCCTTAAGTAATCTTAGAGTATCAACATTATAATAAAGTATACAATAAATTTGAAAGCAGAACTAAAGCCAAACAAATTTGACTGATGGTACAACATGAAGTCTCAGATACACTCTTTGAGTCCGTGAACCTAGTTTTATAAGCTGATGGGCCAGTTTTGGGGTTTTATGAAGTCCTATACAGGATAAGCCAAGGAAAAGTTACTTAGATATTAGTTTGGGTCAAAAGGCTATATATTTGGTTACAGAAAATTTAAAAATAGATCCATATCTGCTATTCTGTGTCAACTGATAAGAAAATTTCAATCCCATTCTTAATCACTGTTCTCATTAAATCAGTGATACAAGTAATTTTTTCCTTAGCAGTGAGGTTGGACCAAATGAATCAACATAAAAGTGAAAAATTCCACCAGTCTTTAAAACCACTATACATACATATTAGTGTTAAGAAGTTTGTTCAAGTACTTTTTGTACCCTTCTTTTCAACAGATGAAAAGATTTACTGTTCGGAAGAGTAAACTGCTAACTTTTCAAAAGCATAAAATTCAAAGTTTAAAAAAAACCTAGAAATTAAGTACATCTCTCTCTGAAATTGATTTAAAAAAATGGTATTTATTTTTGCATCAGATTTAAATTCCAGATGATGACGTTGTGAAGTTTCTCATGTGTATCCTTTCATGTGGCAGTACAGTATGTCCTTGGCATTTGCTGCATGCTCTTGGTGTGTTGTTCAAAAATGAAGTCGTTCGCATAACTGGCATTTATATTTAAGTACTTATTAAGCTTTAGTGTTAATGCTTTATTGGATAAATAGAAAAAGTGTATAATTTTCCTTTGTTTTTTCTCCAGTCTGTTAAGAAGCAGACTTAATGATATTTTGTTTTCCACTTTTCATTTGGAAGATTCCCTTAAATCAGAATGAAAAGAATCTTTTAAAAATTAAAAATAGAAAAATAATTAGTTTCTGATTTAATAAGAAAAAGCAAATGCTTTGAAAAACTTGTTTGCTGATGTTCTGTACACACTGATTATTTTATCATTTGCATAAAATATTTGGAAAGAATTGTGGAAATAGTGTCACTGTTAGACAATCATAAATTCTTTTCCTGCCCTTCACCTCATGTTCATTGCTTTGGACCTTGTTAGCATATCCTTATTACACAGAGAAAAAATAATCAGTTGATTTGACAGCATTCATTTTATTTCTTAGATATAGAGGGTGAGAAAGCTGTGTTCCTAATGCTGTTCAGTAGTCAAGATCTTAAGATTACATGTGGTTTTCATACTAAAGATACTAAATTACTGTATTACGTCTAAGACACACATATTATTTCATGTCTGGCCTCTTGGTAATTTCAAAGTTGCTGCTGGTGCTGAGCTGTAGACCATAGAAACCTGTGAACAAATAGAGATGGTACTTAGTCATCCCTGGTTATGGTTCTGTTTGTCTCCTAGAGCAGAGCAGGCAAATAACTAAAGACACTAACTGTGTTAGTCCTGTCTCTCCCCTCCTAAATCTACTTGCCTGCAAATAGCGGCTTTGTAAGACATCATTTGGCTAGAGCAATGTTCTTCTCAGTAAATAAAAAGTTACACCAATTTCATGCTCTAGAAATCCAAGAATCTCATCATAGATGAAAATAAACTGCCAGGACAGTCACACTGAGCTACTTAAATTGAATGTAAATGTGTGTTGTCAAAAAAAGAATGTTTCTTGTAATCTTGCTGTCTCAAATTCTCACTGTAGTGCTCAATTCAGGTTAAGTATAATCAGCTCGAAGATTGTCAAGTAAAATCTCCAAATATTGCCTGTACATATAGATGTTATCTTAAGAATTTGGAAAGCTGAAAGAATCTATGAGATGGGAAAACTAAATCTGAGCAGATTCAAAGTCAGCTTCTAGATAGTAAATTTCAACCTTAACTGAGAATTTCCTCTGGATATTGAGGAGGGGTGAAGAAAGGGGGTAGTTGTAACATTATGTTGATGTATTTTAACTTTATTACTTTCTAGCATAGCAACATTTAAATTTATAAAATTTTTGTTCAGAAATATATTTCAATCTTAGTTTTAAAGTTCCTAAAAATCTAATGTATATACCTGTTCAGCAAGTGTAATTTAGGATTGCTTCGTGTTTTATTTACAGTTTAAGTTGTATCTTGTCTAAAATTTCATTCATTTCCCCCCCCCAAAGTACATCACCTGTATTACATTAAGCTACCTTGAAAGAGTTACTCTGAATAAACTTTTATTTGTGTTATGTTTTTTGCTTCATATCTGTATTTTTGAAAGTTTTTCAAGATATGCAGCAGTAAACTGAAAATCAGACATAAGCATACATGAAATACGGAATAAATTCAGCTTTTAGTAGTTACTCATTGCAGGCATATCAAGGAAGGGACTAACAAATACTGAATCATATCTACTGTCTGCTTTCTCTTTAGGCCTAAGAACCCTGTGTTTTGCTGTGGCTGAGGTTTCAGAAAGTGATTATCAGGAGTGGTTAGATGTCTATCACCGTGCTTCTACAGCTATACAGAACAGAGCACTCAAGCTTGAGGAAAGCTATGAACTAATTGAAAAAGTATGTGTAGCTTTCTGAATTGTTTTTTTTGGGGGGGAGAGGCAGGGCGAGGTGAAGAGAGCAGTTTTTTAATTAATGGCCTTGCTTTCTATACCGTGAAATCTGAATAATGATTGAGGAATAATGCTTAAACAGAAAAAAATCTAGCAATATACTGTTAGCTGTGTCATGTAGTCCTTGCAGTTTAGATAATCAAAATAAAGGGACATAATTTGACAATGTTTTTTGCAGCAACTAGCGACCTTGACAGAAAGTATTGATTTGGGGTTGAACTGCTGGAAACCTTTTTTTTCAGGGTTGCTCTATTGTGTGAAAAAGAGTAATAACAGTCAAATAACATGTGCTTCGTTGCGTAATGATCTTGGACATAGAGCTGTTAAAGTTGGAAGGGACTTCTGGAGGTCATCTAGACACAAATCCCTGCTCAAAGCAGATCAAATCTTGCTTGCCCAGCACTATTATGAAGTTTTGAGTATCTGCAAAGAGGGAGTTTTCCCATCTGCAGTACACATTTTTCTTCTTAGTGCTCAACTACTGTTTTCCCCTTTTTTCTGCATTAAAATTTCTATTGGTGCAGAATGTGACTGTTGCCTCTTTCCCTTTCAGTGTGCATCTCTTAGAGGAAGATGGCTTCTTTTCATGCCCTCTTCAGTTAGCAGAAGGCAACTGTGGAATCCCTCCCTTAGCCTCATTTTTTTCCTGTGTTAAAATCATCCTGGTTCTTCAGGCGTTATTAATATAGTGTGCTCTGTACCCCAGGCTGTTTTTATGTCCCTCCGCTGAACTTGCTCCACTTTATCAACTTCTCTCATACTGAAGGCCCAGAAAGGGAGATACTACCCAGATGCAGCCTCACATGAGCAGAGCTGTAATCACTTACCCTTGAGTTTCTGGCAGCGCTGCTCCTGGAATAGCCAGGCATGCAGTTAGTCTTCACTGCCTCAACAAAAAAAGACTCCTATGAGTCTTAAATGCATAAACAAAAGGAGTTCATGAGACCAGTATTGCTTGAAGTTGTGCTACTTGACTTCCTCGGGCTTGGGGGTTTTTCTGTGGGTTATATTATCCCTTGGAAAGGATAAGAGGCATTATCTTGTTGAAACTGCTTAAAATTCAGAGCCTCAAAAATATGCAGTGTTTATTAATGAAAAAGAAGATTGAGCATATATAGTTTCAGTCACTTGTGGGACTTCAGTTTACATAGATGAGCAGTTTATCCAGACATGCACAAGACAGGCTTAAAACTATATAACTTTGTTAATGCCGTGGCAACCCTGCTACCATTACAAATTTTTGTATTAGCTCCACAAGTACTTTCTCAGCGTGTAGTAAGCAGGCCATGCTGCAACCAGGATTGTACACTGTTAGGTTTATAATGGTGTCATTAACAGGGTTTTAGGTAGTTTTAAAGGTACAGAAATATGAAGTATAATATGAAGTTAAAACCAAACATAATCAAGATTATAGTTTTAAGATTAAGATGGATTGACAGGTTTGGTTTTTCTTACAAGGTAAATAGAAATCATTGGAAGTGAGAGAAGACATAATAATAGTACTGCTTAAGTCTCCAAATCAGAGAAGTGGAAAAGGTAGCTGTTGCTGAGCGAGATGCTGAGCTTGTGAATAACTGGATGGAGTTTTAGTGGTCATGCTGTGCAGTTTGTCAAGCTACAGATATTTAACTTAGAGCTTATAGGAATAAATGGCAAGATCTTTATTAGTTGATACCAAATCTGATTAATTACTTTGGAGAGCATTAATCTTTTCATAATATAGAAAATTAAAGAAAAGAAACTGAAAGATTAAAACTGAATGTACTGCATGTACTGAATATTTCATGTTCACAGAATCTTCAGCTTCTTGGAGCAACAGCAATTGAAGATAAACTACAAGACAAAGTGCCTGAAACCATAGAGACACTCATGAAAGCAGACATAAAAATTTGGATACTTACTGGGGACAAACAAGAGACTGCCATTAACATCGGTATTAAATTTGCATTTGTTCGATGTCCTTGTTACGGATTAAGAAATTATAGAAGTTGTTATGGTAAAAGTTGTTACTGGTAAAAAATTGGATATGGAAATTTATCTTGTAAAAAAGAATTCTATTTGTCATTCCAGAATTCAAATGTTTACTTACTTTTCAGTCATTGGTAGGAGGAGAGTGGGAAATGGTGGATTCTTTCTCCATTAAAACAGTAACAGCAAGAAAAATTCACGTTATCATAGAGAAGAGGTAAAAATAGGCATTTGTGCTGCTTTTTTGGTAGCAATTAAAAAGAATTCGTTGTTTGAATTTTGTCAGTGAGAGAGAATAATGTTAAGAAAATGTAAATATTCTTATTTTCCCTTGTGTTTTTCCTTCTTTCAAAGAAAGCTGGTGGGGACTAAAGCAAAATTATATAGATATTAAAGTACTATAAATTTTACCATCAATCAGAGGTTTCCTTTTATTCTTTCCTTTTATTATAAAGAAGGGAAAAAACATGGATTAACTAATTTGAGCAGTGCTAAATCTGTACTTTTAAGTAGTAATACATGAAAGTTTCATTTAAGATTTAATGTTCTTTGCATCTGAGCAAATCAGCACTTCTGCAGTAACCTAGATACATGCCCAAAATAAAGCATTGTTTTGGTCATATAGTTCCTTTTTATTGCTATTATTATTTTTCATTTAAAGAACTTTTTCTTTGCACATGATGCAGTTTATCTAAGGTTATTTTCATTATTAACGTCAGCTTTGAGGCAATACACATAATACCAGTATTTTCACTTTATTGAGAGTGATGATACATATATGTCTAGGCAGCCTGTGTCATTAGCATCAACGAATAAAAGAAAAAAAAAAGTTTTTTTAAAAATGCTGTTTAAAGCATCAAAGAATAAAAGAATGGGAACACGTATATAGGCAAATTTCGTATGAAAGTCAAGTTGCATTCCAAAAATTTGCAACGCTAAGGGAGATCTGTTTGTTTTCTGTAACTCCCTGTAAAGATGTTTCTTGTTTCTTGCTCAGCACCTCTATGGCACAACAGTTGCAAGTTGCAACAAGGAAAATTCTGACTGTTCTGACTTAGTACCTGTATGTCCAATTTTTATGGAATGCAATATACTTTTTTTACCACTGATTTCAGCTGGGATAGTCTTAGTTTTGATTCTGTCTGTAGTTCTCTTACAGGAAAAAAAATGCTTTGTCATATCATAATGGATTTTGTGAAACAGAGTTTTGAAAACAAAATTGTTTTTAACAGGTCACTCCTGTAAACTTTTGAGAAAGAATATGGGACTAATTGTAATAAATGAAGGCTCTCTTGATGTAAGTAACTGAAAATTTTGCAAATTTTAATGAAATGTTATTTTACTGCTTAAAATATCCAGACGTCATGGTGGAGGTGGCCTGAGAAATAACTTTGTGCATCTTTTTATCTGGACAGATACAGAAAATTCTGTTAAAACCACTGTTTGATGGGGGGTTTTGTTTCTGTTTGTTTGGTTTAGGGGGTTGGTTTTTTGTTTGTTTTTATAATCTTCTCAGTTAATTTCAGTATCACATACTTGGAAGACCCTATGGTCTTTGTGACAATTTCATAGAATAGTTATGGTTGGAAAAGACCTTTAAGATCATCAAGTCCAACTGTTACCTAACCCTACCTTGCCCATTTCTAAACCATGTCTCTGGTTTTTGTCTAAAACCAAATTTGTCTAAACCGAATCTCCACAGTTTTTTAATATATCCAAGGATGGTGATTCAGCCACTTTCCTGGGCAGCCTGTTCCAATCTCTGCTAATTCTTTCAGTGTAGAAGTTTTTCCTAAACCTCCTAAACCTCCCCTGGCGTAACTTGACACCATTTCTTCTTGTCTTATCAGTTGTAACTTGTGAGAAGAGACCTACACCCACCTCTCTATAATCACCTTTTGGGTAATTGTAGAAAGCGGTACGGTCTCCCATCAGCCTCCTTTTCTTCAGACTATACAACCCCAGGTATCTCAGCCACTCCTCATAGGACTTGAGTGGCCCCAACACCGAGTCCTAGGGAACACCACTTGTGACTGGCCATCAACTGGATTTAACTCCTTTTACAAATTTTACTGAATAATTAGAAATGTTCGGTAACAATTTCTCAGTTGTTTGAGGTTATGTTACTGAATAATTTGAAACCTAGTCTATGGCTGCCAAAACCACAGTGTAGTTACTACACAAGTGAACTTCAGAATGATGAGCAAACAAATTCCACGTAATGAAATGACACCATTCATGCAGGCACAAAGCCAGGAGCTTCACATGTTTCTGGTAGCACCTAGCAGTGCCCAAACTAATGCCAGGTTCCTTTCTAATGCTGTTTCTTACAGAATACTTAATGTCTCCCACAAATTAATTGTTCTTTTGTGGTTAAGCAGCAGAAATTTTAATTGAATGTTGAAGTACAGGTAAGGGTTAAAACTACCAACTTGTAAGTATACAGTGCTTTGTAGAGAAGAGATTATTTAGATAAGGCGGGAATGCAATATTAAGTGAAAAATCCCATGAGGGGAGAAAACATAACTCCTGTTATCACCTTCTAAGGGAGCCTTAAATGAACTTAGAAACTGAAGAATTTCCTCAGGGAGAAAACTCACTGTCCAGAAGGCTTCAGAAGAAAACTCTGAAATGAAGTTTGTTTTACTCTATATTGCTCAAGGTAGGACTTAAGGAGAGAAAGGGACAGAAAACTGAAAAGAGAGTATGAGAATCAGCAAGAGGAGGAGAGTGCCTTAAGTCAAGGATTCAACGGTAGCAAGTAAAAGTAGGCTATAACATAAATTAAAATACTTTTTCTTAAGTACTTTTTAAAATGTTTTGATCCATTTATAATAACACATTTTCTACATTAGTATGAATTTAATAATGATGACTATATATATATTTTTTTACACAACATATTTTTGCAGATAAAATTTGAAATGAAATCCCAAACACAGAACAGGCAGGAGCTGTTGATTAATGCCTGGAACCAATCTGTTGATATAGTAAGCAACTTTTGACACAAGTGGCCTCTGATATTAATGGAGAGAGGCAATTTTCTTTTTTTTAGTTTAGTTTATTGCATAGCTTTAGAAAGACTGTGATCACTCTTTGTTGAAAAAACAGGGAAGGTTTTTTTGGGTTCAAGCCCTTAATTTTGCATTTGAGTTTTTCACTCCTTAACCAATCTCTGAGTAAAAATTAACCAATGCAAGTGAGAACTTCTGTCCTTTATTTAGGTTATGAAGAGACTGCTGGATTTCAGAACCACTGCAATACTTAATAGATTTGAAGTTCAAAAGATTGACTACTTTGTTTACTTCTTCATATGTAATGAAATATATTTGCTTAGACTGTGTCCTAGCTCTGTGAAGTGAGTTTACAAAGAATATACTGAAATAAGACTCTTTCGTGTGAACCAATACCCTTCTTAAAGAAATTAAAAGAAAAAAAAAACCCTATTCCCCAGTTAGCATTGGCTGGGATAGAACTGGAAAGACTTCCGGGAAGCATTTATGTATCTCTGTTTTTTGCAACATTACTTGCTTTGAGGCATCACTCCCAGGAACATCTGCTTAGCTTCACAAACAAAAAGTATTTTTGTTAGTAAGTTCTTACAGTTGTATAAAAGAGCACTGGGTTTTATTTTGCCTTCATATTAACTTAACAGACTGCTAAATTTTAGTATAGTACTATTAATCATAGACGGAAATCATAAAGAACATAGCTGTATTCCTTCCATTGTGAACTTAATAGAAAATGGTTCTCAGTTTCACTGAGAAAATATTTAACGGAAATAGTGTAGAAGTACATAATGGATGTTCTGATACTGCTTTTAATTTAAGGCATTGGTTTTTAGGAAAGAACTACATGTAAGCGCACAAAGTAATTTTAAATAAGACAGTTTTACAGTTGTAGTAAGTCTTTTGTAATGTCTTGGTGTTTCAGGGTTGGTTTTTTTTTGTTTTAATACATAGCATGCCTGGAGCTACCTGATGGCATGCCTGTTTGTGATAAAAAAATTAAGGTCAGTGTAAACAGAAGAGTTTATACTGCATGTATTTGAGAAGAAACAATAGATTTCTTCAATTCAATTCAATTTCTTCAATCAAACAATAGATTTTAGAGAGCAGTATGAAGTTTCAGGCTCTTGTATTGCTTAAATTTAGTTGGAAGCTAAATAGCCCATGGACATGAGAAAAAATATATTTCCTTTATGCTGCAATATATCTTATGCAGAGAGGATGCTGTGGAAAATAGTTACAGAAGTTAATGTCATTTTAGCGACTTTCTAATATGTACTTTTAAACAGTGGTACTCTGATTCCCTTGCAGTTTCTATGGGGAAAGAGCCAGGAAACCTGAAGTGCAGAATCCCCCTTTTAGAAAACCAGTGAATCTTAGAAGGCCAGTGGAAGCAAAGTAGGCATAAAACAGTGACAACAGTGTGTGGAACTGGGAAGAAGTAAGTTGGGTGGGAAAGGCAAAGCAGTGTCTTCTATTTCATTTCAGGGGATTTGAGATTTGTAGCTACTTCTTGGAGTTTTATTTTTAGGTGGTTACACCAAATTTTATTTACATGTGTCTGACATCACTGAAGTAGCACATAGGATGTTGTTGTTTTCCAAATTCAATATTTTATAAGCAGAGGTTTTGCTTTCATCTTCCTTTTTCCTCTAAAACTCTTCTTACTTTCTGGGCTGTGAAGCAGGAAACAATAGTAGAAAAGTATGTTGTAGCTCTGTGAAAGCCATTCAAAAAGGAAATGCAACAAGCAGGTTTTTTCTTCCTTGTGACACTCTGTTAGAGCTATACTGTAACTAACTAGGTATTGGTGACCTCCCCAAAGGTGGGAGGTCTTGCTGCATCAATGAGTATATTGTCTACTGAATATAATCTGAAGTTCTTAGTACTGGATTACAGAACAGTGACTTATGTAGATGTGATTCAAACTGTCCTTAGCAACTGAAATACAAAATATGATCCTTTATATAACATGTAGTTGATGTGGGCTTATCTTGAAATTTAAATTTAATACTATGTTTAGAATTATCAGTTGTAATGCATGTACTTGTATTATAAATTATCTTTGATATTTCTTCCACTTTTTTCTAAACATTTAGAACATTTTTTATAGTAGCAAACAGAAATTGTTTATCCTCGTATATATATATGTGAATTTTCTTTTGCATAGGTATATAGAAAACTTATTTAATAATGTCTTTTAGCAAACATTTATGCAGCTATTGTTGCCATTCAAAGAGCATTAAAAGTTCTGCCAGAACTTATATACATATTTTCTTTGGCAGAGTGTGAGAACAATCCTACACACCATTTCTATTGTGGTTTCTAATAGTACAGCTGTTGGAAACACTTTTTCATTTTATACTGTCTATTTGATAGCATAATCAAAAGGTTATTTCCTCAAAAAAGGAAATGACAGTGTTTCTGATCACAGTGAAAAAAATGTGGACTTAAGAATAGTAGGAATTAAAAATAGTGGACACAAATTTTTTTTTTTACAACAGGGAACAAGAGAGACACTTAGCCATCATTGCAGTACTCTTGGTAATGCTTTAAGGAAGGAAAATGATTTTGCTCTCATCATTGATGGTAAATCTCTGAAGTATGCTTTGACATTTGGTGTGAGACAATATTTCCTGGATTTGGCTTTGTCATGTAAAGCTGTTATTTGCTGCAGGTAAGGTTTACATTATTGCTCTACAGTATTTTTATTGATAGATAAAAATTATTAAGAAACTTCTTTTATTTCAGAGAAAATATGCACATTCATGTCGTCTAACCATGAAATATTTTTTTAAAGCCCCTTTGGTAGCCAAGCTTATGAAAAATAGGCATTCAAGCAAAGTATTTCTGTGGAGCAGTCTGCTACATAGTGTACCTGTCAAACAAAGTCATTCAGGCTGCATATAGCTAGGAAAAAAAAGTGTTATCCATCAAGGATAGTCTCAGCAGAACAGAGAGACTGATCTTAACCTTAAATTGACACTACAGTTAACTGCAGGTTTTAGCACATCTGGATTCTTTTGTAGAGCTTCTTCCACAGGCAGGATTTTACGTCTCTGCTTTTTCTGTAAGCCATAGATTGCATAAGAAGTGCACAAAGATGTTAAAGGTACTGTCTAGGTGACTTTTATTTTCTGAAGCTGATGAAAACACCTTTATTAGTAGTAGTATTACTCCTGATTGTTTTGAGGTTCTTTTATACAATCAGATAATCAATCCTTTCCTGTAAAAATAATCTATTATAGCCATAAGCTTACCATGACAAGAGAACTCTTTCCAGATCAAAGAAAATTAAATATCTACATCCTTTAAATATACACAATATGAAAGCAGTTTGGCTTGCTTTTAATATTTTTAGATTTATATTAAGGAAGGAATATGTAGAACTATATAAGTAATAGTTTATGTGTTTTGGGGCCTTCTTGGATTTAAAGTAACTGTTACAAGAATAGCCAGTTAGTGTTCTCAGAGTATTTTTCACTGCTTTGACCTTTGTAATAGCATAGGAGGACAGGGAAAAGCGAAGGAGGTTATAGTATTCAAATAAGCACATGCTTTGTTATGCCACCAAGTGATTTTTTTTTTAATGGTTTAGCTTTGGAGCCTTGGTCCAGCATGAAATACTCAGAATTTCAAACTAATGTCTTACTGTCTTTTTAACTGAGATCTTACACTGATATGCAGTTAATAGTGTGTATAAACATTTGTCTAACTGCTGTAGTCTTTTTGACAGGCAAGTTGGAGCTTTGTCCTTATTCTGCTACTTCCAGTTTTGCTCAGCATCAGAAGCAACAAGCAGATGTAGAACAGCTGTTTCAAAACTGTTTCTTCTTATTTCTTGATTTGAAACTACTTTTCATGCTGTTTGAAGAGACAATATTGCTGTTTCTATTGAACTATAGAACCATTGAAGGATATTCTGTACATTCTGTCTTTTATTGGTATCATTTTTGTGATGAAACAACAAAAAGTACACATTTAAAGTTTCTATTCTGTTCTGCCATTTCTACATTTCCATAATATACTTCTGTCAGCTGGTTTCATTATGTGTCTAGGTGTATGCTCTGACATGTTTTGTGGTTGTTTAAAAATTGGCTGCAGGTTTAAAACTAAAATACTTGCTTGTAGCACTCACTGGTTTAGTATGTACATTTAATATCACATGCTTCTCAAAAGTTAGAATTCTGTTGAAATTATTTGTGTTAATGCTCCATCATTAGTAACAGAAATTTCATTTTATTGCTTGTGAGCTTGAAAATTAAAAAAAATAAAACTGGTAATTTTTAATTAATGTAAATTGCTTAAATATACTGTCCTGACTGAATGAAAATGTAGGCGTCTCTTCCATCCATATGAAGGCAGTAAACATTTTAAGCACTCCTTGGTTGTAAAAGTACAAATATATCACTTTCTTAGAAGTTTTCAGATGGTATTCACTTGTTCAGAAGCCATTATTAAAAATGGATTCTTCCTGAAACTAGCCATAACACAGATGGAGCTGACAAATATTCAGTGCACATTTCACTTCAAAAATCTGTGTGTTACTAATTTCAAGCAGATGTTTGGCTTAAAGACTTTGATGAACTGAATTCCAACTCTATATTGGCTTCAGAGTCATGTGTGCAAGAAGAGTGTTAAATAGATTAATCTGTAGTAAACATGTACAGCTAAGAGTGAACAAATTGAACAAAATATATTTTTTTATTGGTTTCACCACAAATTTGATGCACCAGGCAATGAGAGTAAGTGCCGTCTTTCAACTGCCCCTATAGCATTGTCTGAAAGGGAAATAAGCCACTGCTTCTGGAAAGTTAAAAAGATGAAAAAGTTCTTAGGTCAGGAATTTTCTACAGAAGCTGGCAGTACTGAGTCCTGATAGAATACTCATCAGCAGAGTTCAAATAAAGCATGTAGCAAACCATCATGGAAATGCTTTATAATATACTTGAACTGTACAGTTCTTCTAAAGGGCTGTTGCCCAGAAGCTATCATGCCACGTTTGCCACAAGGTTGTTCTTGTCCCAAGTACCTTTCTCAAAAGTCTGAAAGCATGTGTTGCCCAGGCTGCTGAATAAAGTAGCTAGATAGCTGCCTTCAATCCAAACGCTGGATTATTTTTCACTCCTTTATGGTTTTGCTTTTGAAAAATTATGCAATTAAATTTTACGCAACCTTTCACTGATTTATTGTTGTGGATTAGGGCTGGGCTGGCCACTAAATCCT